GGCTTTTTAGATAGCGGAAGATAAAGTGTTTATTGTGTTGTACCTTTTGACTTTGGTTTATGATAGGTATATTGTAAAGTGACCAAGAATCCTCGGCTGTGTAAAGTGAATTCGATTGAGCCTTATCAAATAAATTAATAAACAAAAATAAAATTCTTAGGAGTATTCCAAAAGAGTTTTTAAGGAAAATTTTAAGGTAATTCCTAGGAAAATTCCAAGCGTTAGTTCCAACAAAATTTTGAGGGAAATTTCTAAGGCTATTCCGGAAAATGACTATTTCAAGGATATTCCGGTGATAATTTAAAAAAAAAGAAAGTTCAAAGGAAATTATTTCAAAGAATTAAGAAGCATTCTAAGCAGAAATAAAAATTAATTCCTTTTTTAATTCCCTGGGAAATATTATGGGAAATGCTAGGTGCATGCTGAGGAGAACTCCAAATGATTTATTTCAGGAGGTTTTTTTCTGAGAATTGCTAGACTTATCAATATTATGAAGAGCATTGTAGAGTAAATTCAGAGAGTGTTCTGTAGATGATTTTTAAGAGTATTATGGAGAAAATTAAAAGAGAATTCAAATCTTCCATGAACAAATTTCGCATCCTGGACACAGAAAAAGAATCAAGATGCAAAGTTTCAGAAAGAAATGAAAATTCTGAGGCTTAGATTTTTTAAAGATTTCATGCCTAAATAATTATTTGATCCTGGATTTAGACAAATCTTCATGGTTCAGGGTGTTATATTTAAAATTAAATATTCCTGACAGCAAAATGCGTTTCGATGCTGTGACACAGCATACCTGTCTCATTGGATCACCACAGAGTTCGATTGCAATATTGCATTATAAATAAATACTGCATTTACAGCTTTCAATTCCAATATAAAAGTTTAAGGACAATATTAACGAAATCCATTTTCCATAAATGTTGTTTAACCACTTCGCAACTTCACGGGCACACATCTGGCGATCTACTTAAGGTCTGAGGTCAAGTTTCCAACGGTTTAATTCAAAATAGCCACGTTTAACCGTTTAATAACCACGTGTTGCCTCTCTCAGAGAGTAACAAAACATCTCGCAAGATAGCGCTGGCAGTGTTGCCAATATAATGGTAAAAATATCAAACATTATATTAATTACATTCAAAGAGAGATTGGGAAAGCCAAGATCCCAATGACCTCATCCGACATGTTCCGAGTGCCTTCGAGGACGTGGTCAGAATGTTATTTGAGTCAAAACTAATCATATGACCTATAAGACTTCAAAAGAAGATCATGTTTGATCACATTTTCACCATCCGAAGATGTCTGTCTCTGACGCTTTGGTGACGGCGTTTCTATAGACTGTTCCAGAAAGTATAAGCACACTTTCAAAATAACAAAAAAGTCTTGTTTTTTTATGTTTTAATAATTTTATTTGGCAAATCATATTTGTATTTGTATTTCAAATAATATTTTACTCTCGTTTAATCAACATATTTAATCATAGCCAAGACTCCTAACTTTTCCTCGAACATGACCCATTAGCTTCTGTACAGTGGTACTTCCCACCATTTTGACCACTTTTGGCCAATCTTTTTTGAATTTTTGGATGTCATCCGCTGGTTTTATTAATTTTCGAAGCTTTGCTTTGGTTAAAGCCCAAAAAGTCTCGATTGGCCGTGCCTCCGGGCAGTTCGGCGGATTCATGTCTTTCGGCACGAAACATACATTTTGACTTTTGTACCATTCTAAAGTGTCCTTTGCGTAATGACATGACGCCAAATCAGGCCAAAATACTACTTGACCTTCGTGCTGCCTGATCATCGGCAACAATGGCTTCTGGAGACACTCCTTAACGTATTTCTGAGTGTTCATCGTCTCCGTTGTGATGTACGGACTAGATGTTTTACCACACTCGCATATTGCCTGCCAAACCATAACCTTCTTACCGAATATTTCGGTAAAAATTGCCTTCTCCGTTTCGGGGATGTCCTTGTCTTCGCTTACAGTATAGAATTGTGGTCCGGGAAGCGTTTTTTAATCTAGTTTCACGTACGTTTCGTCGTCCATTATTATACACCCAGAATTTCGACACAATAACGAATCGTAGAGTTTGCGGGCCCGTGGTTTCACAGGAAACACAAACACAAAACTGAGCACTTTTTTGATGCTATGTCATTCAGAAATGAGCAAACAAAAGGACGCAGCCAAAACATGTTGAAATATTTCATTATATTCAAAGTGACCGTTAAAATAAGGTGTGCTTATACTTTCTGGAACAGTCTATACTGGCTGTGTATCTTGGCATTCTCGTTGATACCTTTTCACTTGACGGACAGCAGATTTTTTCTTAAAAAACCCATTTTGCAAACAAATTAAATGAACCGACAAAAAACACTTGCAACGTAACTTTGGAATAAAAATTCGAGCAGTTTTTTCCTTGCGTTTTTCACAGTACTAAACGCGCCGCATAGACAGAATTCCCATACTTCTCTGTTTATATTCTCTCGGGTTCAAGGATCAGACATGTGAGTAGCGGGCAATGACGTTTATATGAGGTCCGGGCTAGAGTCGGTGTATAATGAGTCACGCCAAGAGAAAAACAGTTGAACTCGCATCACGGTTTTCGAAAGATTCCCTTTCTTTTCACTTGGCAACAGAGAACTTCTACATAAACTTCAAATGACTTCTAGCGAGAAAAAAAAATAGCGGCTGTAGTAAATCATTATATCAGTGATTTAGTCAAATTATCTCAACCAAAAATAGTAGAAATTCTCATAAGTGATCATTACCAAACGTATCCCATGACAATTTATTGCTCACTGCGAGTTTATGATCATTTCTTCGATTATATTTTATATTTTATTGCAATACCTTTCGTGGACCTTTCATAGCATCGTAATGTTTGTTTACTCTGCACGATAGGTAGCCGGTTTGACAGCTCAATAGGTAGACTTGGCTTCACTCTTGGCGTGACTCATTATACACCGACTCTAGTCCGGGCCAACAGGCAGCTTGCTGGTGTTAGAAGCAAAAATGTTGTAAACATTGCTGAGCATGCAAGTGACGACGTCACTCTACCATAACATTCCATACTGCGAACAGTGAGATTTACGTCACTGCCAACAGCTGTTTCGTGTAAAAAGATATTACTTAGTGAGATCAGTTCCAGTGAAAACGCGAAGAGGAGGGATTCCATGAACCTTCACCTTAAAGCATCTTAATCATTCTGTAGTTTGCTATTAATAATGGAAAACTGGATCAATCTGGATGAATTTTCAAAGCAGACCTAAAACTTTAACTGTTTGACTAGAAGCGTCCAAAAAACTGGAAGAATACAGTTTGAACTGGAATGCTGGCATCACTGCTGTGTGCATCAAAATTAATCAACGATAAAAAGAAAATTGTGATAATTTTTCCTAAAAATTACCATACACAAAATTACCAATACCTATAATTCGCGAATAACCCGACTATAAATGAATTTCCCATTCAGTGTGTTGTTTCAGGCGCAAGCTAGCATAATCTTCTGTCAAACTGTGCTGCGAGCTTAACTTAGATTTTTTTTTTAGCCGTGGTGAACCAAATAGAATGTCGATGAAGAGAATCGAAGTTCAAATCCACAACAAATCCGCAAAAATCGGGAAATCCGCGCCTGTTGTAACAGCTCTGAAGCTGTAAGTGAATTCTACGGAAAATTCCATGGTATTTGTGAAAAAAAAACACAAGAAAAAATGATTAATATAATATAAAAATCGCGAAGAAACTTTCAAAGGATTGCTGAAGGGAATTGTGATGAAAATTCCAAGAGAATTAAAAAGCGAGCAACTCAATGTTTAGGAAAAAAAAAATACAAAAAAAAACAAATGGAAACCTCAAAAAACCCTTAGGTGTATTACGAGGCTATTCCAGTGATAATTTTCAGGAGAGTTTTAAGGGAATTTTGAGGAATATTTCAAAGATGATGATTTCATGAAAATTTCTGGAGAGCCTTTAATTCTTCCAGGAGGTCGTGGGGAATAATGTAAGAATTATTGAAAATGTGATGATAACTTCAACGTGAATTCAGAGAGTTTTCTGCAGAGATTTTCAAGAGTTTTATGGAGCAAATTGTATGAGTATGCTTGTATGCTTAAATCAAGGTTTAAAGCAAAATATGTTGACGCTAAATTTGTTAGTTAACAGCTCGCTCCCATAAAAAATCATAACGAAGGGCGCTAAGATGGTGAGTTTTGGTAATGTAATCGCACTTATTTAAAATAGTTCCAGTGCATCAAAATTACTCCTAAACAACCCAATTTAAACATAACTGGGTATCTAAAGGCAGAATCAGTGTATTGATTCTGATATCAAAATACGAGGGGGGCGACACATCTAAATCTCAATTCTAGATGCTCAACAATCTCACACTAGCGAATAAATCTTCGAAAAATCTTCTTTCACTTCTCGTATCTTCTTGCATCGCGCATCATCTTTTTGCAGGAAATCTTCAAAATCGTGATAAATCTTCTTGCTATCTACTCAGCGTACGCGCAGCTAGCCACAGCAAAACACAATATTTCCTGCAGCGTAGATAGAGTCGCCCCCTCGACAAAATAGGCTTTACCCCTTGATATAGGCTGTAGTGTAAACGAAGTATTCCACCTAATGGGTTTATTCGTAAATATTAGGTCAAAAACTTTCATCGCAGACTTTCAAAAAATAATCTTGCATCCCTGGTCGACATACTTTACAGAGCAAGGGCGGTCATTTTGCAAATTATTATGCTAATAACCGCTGTTGCTTATATAGTACTGTGCAAAATACTGATTTCATTCACTTTTGCCGCTAACGTCCTTCGAATTTTTCCCATTCACACACATCCCATTATTCATTCTGACAAACAAGAATCACTCAACCGAGCGACACCGCAGTTTAATTCCGCTTATGATCCATTTTAATTCCGCTTATAAAAATATCCGTCTCTCTTTTCTTCATTTTCACTTTCAACCGAATCGCTCCGGATTCACCTATGCGTGCATCAGATTCAGGCATTCCGTGCCCTCGATGACGAGGAAGGCCACCCACTGACCCACAATTTCCGACCGATCCAACCGCTCGGCGATAGGGTGGTGCTGTACAACACGGACGAGATCGTCAAGGATGTGGACCTGGCGGAAGTGGACGTTCCGCCGAGCGAAGTAGAACAGAATGCCATTGATGATCCGAAGCAGGAGGAGAATGGAGCTAAAGGTGCCGATAGCAGTCAAAATAGAAAGGGTAAGGACAATGGAGCTTCGGTGCCGATGGGAGTCAGCTGGATGGTGCTGGCCGTGGCTATGGTCGTCAGTTCCTGCGGTAACTTCTAGACTGGATTGATGTAGGAGGAATGCAGCAGACTTCTCTGATTAGGAAATAGGGATGAATTTAAATTGAAACAGGAATGAAATTTTACTGGAGTGTAAATACGATGTTGAGCATCCGTAGAAAAAATTATAAATTAAACCAAATTAAATTGCTAACATTAGATTCAGTATTGCGTAACAGATTTCAAATGATGCTATATTATTAAAAATAAACTGACAACTAAGACAGGGTGAAACTACAAAAATATGAAACTCGTCCTCATTGAATAGAATTCGAAAAACAAAAATCTAGAGTAAGGTACGATGAATGGAGTAGACAAAAAAAAACATTGCCTCATAAGATACCGTAAGTTGTAAGGTCAACCAAATATCTAACTTATTGTGAACTAGAAGTGTAGATCGTAGAGAAGAAAAATGACAGCACCAAAAAAATGAATCAAAATAACTAGATGTAAGAAAATAAAATGACTTCGTGATCCCAAAAATCTCAAATGAGTGTAATGTATCACAATCCTAGTAATCCCGTTAAGAAAATATAGAAAAAATATGTTTATTTTGATCCACCTCTTGGGTAACTTAGAGGGGAACCAGTGGTGGCTAGCAACCATGATGACATCACTGATCCGATAACTCACGAAGGTCACCAAGGGAAAAGTTCACGAGTCATAGATAAGACGGCAATCTTGCCCCAGAAAATGCTGCTCATTCCGCTCCATCATAATAAGTTTTTTTTTTATTTCGAATCGCGAACCGAAAATGGTACATGAAACAAAATTATGAAAGATTTTGAATATTAATAACTCAGCTGCTCCTCGACCAATTTCAATAATTTTATCACCAATCGGTCAGAAATCTTTCTACGTATTACTATATGTATTACTATATTCGACCGATGATTTTTAACATGAAGCTTTTGAAAAAGTGGTAATGTCAAGCATTGTCTAATGTACAAATAAAAAGCGATAATTTTATCACTGTTTTCATGAAATAAACGTTCTTCCCAAACCCAGTCCTCATAATCGAGCACCACTTAGTTGCACATCATTCTGCTTTATCCTGAAAAGATATAAAAGAGCGCTGCTGTATGGCATCAGCTCATTTTCTCTTCGGACGGCGTGGTGAACAGCAATAGCAGCAGTAGGAAGGTGGTGGCTAGTCCACTCCTTCACACCTAACAAGCAACAATTGACTGGTCGTGGCAAAGGAGGAAAAGGTCTGGTAAAAGAGGTGCCAAGCGTCATCGCAAAGTTCTTCGAGATAACCACCATCCGTTGTCTGGCTCACCGTGGCGGTGTCAAACGTATCTCCAGTCTACGAGGTGCGCTGAAGGTGTTCCTGGAAAATGAGGTCCGTGATGCTGTCACCTACACTAAACACGCCAAGCGTAAGCGGCCATGGGTGTAATCTACACTTTGAAGCAACAGAGACGCACTCTGTACGGTTTCGGAGGTTAAATCATCACCAACTTTGGCTTCAAAACGGCCCTTTTCAGGGCCACCAAGCTTATTACAGTAAAGAATAGGAATAGAATTCATCTGCCTGTTTGTCCATATTCAGAACCACACGCCCCCAACGACCACACAAAATTGCTCATGGAACCAAACTTGGAAGCAGGGGTACAAATGATTTTGATCGATTCTCTTCATCAACTTTCTCTTTGAATCGCCACGGCTGGATATTTTCTATGTAAGAAGCAACAATCTAGCTTCTAATTCGACGAAGACGGCAGGAAACATTTTTGAAGCCAAGTTATTTACGAAAGAGAGAGAGAGTCGATGAAGAGAATCGATCAATATAGATAGAACTTATTGAAAAGTGACGCGAGATTTGTTTTCCGTGGCGAGCACCAATGCTACCGACGCCAGGGAGGCAGCTCCCACACCTGGACCCTACCTATCGAGCCATCAACTCAACCGGGGAAGGCGTGATCAGAGATGTTATGCCTTAGAACATGCCGGTGGCGCCGACTGAGATTGAACCCAGGCATGCTGGGGTGAGAGGTAATCACGCTAACCACTACACCACCGGCGCCGCTAACTTTCAAGGTGTTGCCATTGGCAAACTACGCAGAAGGAAAAGAGACAGTGTCGCTACTTGATAGCAAACTACTCATAATGGGAGGAGTCTTTGTAGCTTTTATATCACTTGGTTGCACAGCATTCTGATTTAACCTGAAAAGATCAGCGCTGCTGTCTAGCATCAACTCATTCGTTGCTAGATCGTCTACACGGAAAGACGAAACAACTCAAAACCGAGATATAAAGTACTTAAAAATCAGTACTCCGTTATCACCACAGTTTTGGATGAAAATTTGTTCTCATTGATGAGTACTTTTAAGTTAATCCTGAAGTACAACCAAAACTCTTACTTTTTGTGAATTGTACTCAACCAATAGTCTTGAGAGAGTTCTTATTTTTGAGTACATTGTATATAGATTTTGAGTTGTTTTGTTTTCCACGCTATGAAAGTATCCAAAATCAAGTGTTACGATTGCACTTAATTTTGGATGAAAAATCGTAGCCTGCGCCATGTTTATTTTATTTTGGCTTTGTAGTCTGTTGGAAGCAACAGTTTTGTGAATTTCCCATACACTGGATGGGCTCAGGATTCTTGAGGTGATGACTATTAACAAATTGGACCAACCTCGGAACCAATGGATTATTCGATGTGGTAAGTTTGCGTCATCCATGAGAACTTGATGGCATTGAACATGAAAAGAATTTTCATTTATTTTAGGCATGATCTGACACGGGCTATAATATTCAGATGAGCAGTTTCGGGAATATAAGTTTTCGACTGCGGAGGACCATCCTGAGAGCCAAAAACGGACATCTGCACATGGGGACCAATAGATGGAAATCAATACGATTCCAACATCCTTTGGGTTGTCTCATAAGGATATGGGATCATCAGTTTGCCGAAAGAAAGGTACCATTTTCATCAGAAAATCTGGCGGTGTTGGCCAGCAACATGATTTCACTACCCGTTATGTTTAAATATAATGCTTATACCTATAAACACTCTGTAAATGTTGAAGACTCTCAAAAACTTTTCAGAATCTAAAACATCAAGAAGACGAACGAGTAAGCCAACGAGGCAGGTTGCAGGTTGGACTGATAACAGATTCAGCTGGCCGGTTGTGATTGGAAGTCGTTGCGTTCCGTTTCAAACCGGAATGCTTGTCTGAGAAGAACTCAAAAACTGAATACACCACGCCAAGTTCAGGACGGCCGCATTCAATAGTAATGAAGAATTATATTGTTTGATGAGTTGAAAATTGTTAAACTGTTTCATACGAATAATAATAATAAATTTGTTGATTATAATGCTCATTTTACGAATTCAAAATAAATATTTGAAGAATCAAATTTCCAGTATAATTTATTAAAATGAAAACCCGGTTTAGAGTAGATTTTACCAAACATTCGCTCTTAATGAAACAGTTGAATTTGACTCAAAACGATGTCTATGCTAAATACATAAAATTGGATACTTTGCAAAGAACTCAATTTTGAGTGGTTGCACTTAGCTGTCAAGATGAGTCCAAATGACTTAATTTTGAGTTGTTTCGTCTTTCCGTGTAGCAGTATAGATCAGTGCACGAAGATTTGCTGCACTCTTCTCTAACCTGTAAATTTTGACAGTTGTGGGTGGTTGGTTTTGGTTCCCATTCGTTGCCATCTCTTTTACTCAGAGACAAAATGATTGGAACCAAAAAGTAAGGTTAGGGACCGTGCACTGCTCTATAGTTCGTTCGTTCGTTCACTTCGCTATCGAGCAGAGATGCCAGATCTACGGAAATCTGTCGTCGAAGACCATCACGGATGTAAGTATTTTAGTTTTTCTCATAATAAGATCTGCTGATGTTGTGCTTGTGCAAGCAACGATGTCATAGTAATAACATAGAGGTAACTCTAAGACAAGAAGGTCCCGAAATAACGTGCTCAACTTTTTGGCTCAGCTCTGGTACCCCAACAAACAATTTGTGCTGATTTAAGGCTGAAAAAGCTATTTTTTTAGCTGAAGAAGCATATGTCTGCCTGAACAAGCTCTTATTCTGCTTCCAATGTTTGTTGGGACTCTCTTCGGTCCCAAGTTAATCGATTCACCCCTCGAAACATAGAAAAAAACCAATAACCCCTCATTTTATCTGTCAAACTTTCATAGCAAATCAAAACAAACATTGCGTAGTACTAGAATTTCGACTAGAATAGGGTACGTTAATCGTTTGCTTGGGACCAATAGGCTACTAAAGTGGTGAGCCAATTTAAAATCGTTAGTTTCGTATTGATTGTTGGTAATAACCTTTTTGATCAGAAATGGTTTAATTTACACCAAATTGAGGAATTAGAACGAAATCACATATCAAGAGCCACATGTGAAAAGGGCATACAATATTTTTGTAAACAAACCTTTGTAGGCCCTTTTCTCACCAACCGAGGGTCACCCACGCAAACCAACAACACATCGGGAAGAAGAAAACTTCCCCTTACCGATGATGTTGATGGTTTGCGTTGGTGACATATGAGTGGCGAGAAAAGGGCATAAGAAGGTTCGTTTACAAAAAGCTTGTATGCCCTTTTCACATGTTGTGCTTGAAATGTCATATGATAGTCATTTGATAATTTTCTTTTTGCTAGAATGTTGTTCTACCGTTTGCGTTGTGTAAGAGAGGCGACGCTCTCTTCCCCGTCAGCTCGATGATGATCAGGCCTTCAACGTGTTCATCAAAAAGCACGTAATCCATAAGTTGTCGTACTTTTCCCGCTATATACAGGAAACTACAGTAAAAGAGTGGCTTTCTTATTAGATTACGACACCACTGTACCACCGCTACGGGATCACAATTGATCAGATCGCCATAGATGGTCTTGAAACCTCTGTAGTGGATCCTCAAATTGAGCTGGAAACCAATGCCTTGGATAATGAGACAGAATTGCTGCTTGGGCAACAGGAAACGCTCCTTTGGTATGAGAACAAATGCCTGGAGATCGCTCCCGCGCAAAACAGGGTTCCTCTGTCTTAAATATATGATGAGCACGGCGAAAAGATAGCTTTTCCTGCCATTTGTTTCGGCCATCTACGGAAATTCAAGCCAGTGGTTCGGGTGACATATTTCATGATGGCATCCAGTGAAACTCGTCGTCAAGACAGGCATGTGGCCAAACCACATTTGTTGTATATGACAATGAAAGTTCTTCGGCTTAGAGTTTCCGGAAGCTTGCAATGCTTGAGCTTGAGCTTGAGCTTGATTGACCGCCCACGGTTGCTACTCTGTTGCTGCCAGATCAGCTGTAATTACACAGAGAACCAATAGACGATGCTTGGGACTAGCAATCATCTAGCAATACCAGCGCCGGCCGCGCCC